AAAAAAGGCTAAAATCCAGTGTATTGCTATCGCAAAAACGAAAACAATTCTCTTCCACCATCAAAAACATATTTGCCGACATCATTGTGTACTGAGTGGCAGCGGAGCAGGTAGGTTGGATAATGCCAAAGTGTGGCTATAATTTTAATGTAATGCCCAAGAATTTTGCAATTCACAGCGCTGTTTAGAAATATGGATGGGTCTGATGTATTGAAAGAGTACTTGGATTTGTTTACTGCTGATTGCAGGCAACTCAAATTGTTGGTAGCTCCCAACGCTGTAATTGATTGGTTTGGGCGCACGGTGCGTGGACCAGCCAAGATCCATGACTATTTCAGGTTTGATTGTAGCTATACACTTTTTTCACATATACAAATTTTACCTTCCAATACTTAGATTCGAAGTTGCTACGCAATATGATCATATGGATTTCGATAAAGCCGAATCCTGTGCACCAATTGAACAGCGACCTTCGCACTGGAAAACGTAAGTATTTACATAAACATCTGACTTTTATGCAAACTAAACCATGAAAAATGTATAGCAAATTGCTGCATACCGGTGATACGGATTTTGTCTTACCGATAAACAAGGTTACTGGCTTAACTTCGTTGAAAAGTTATGCCGACAGTGACATTGACGATGATGATTTGCAAATGCAACCATTGCCTGCAGGCAATCAAACTCCAGAGCACAATAGCAGCAGCATTGCACATATTAATGAACTTACACCACCGTCGAGTACTATAAAACTTGAAGCTACGGCAACAGATTCTGAAAGTGAAGTAGATGATCCGGATAGTGCAAGCGCACCTAAGCGATTAAAGCGTTCACTACCCACTCCGTTCAGCTATTTACGACGTCTGCCTACAGCCACCACTAAAACTACACACGTGTCTAAAAGGCAGCTAACGGCCTCGCAACTTGACATGCAAATGTTGGGTGATGATACGTCCAGCGACGAGGAGTTAGATGCAGATATGCGTAAGAAAATATTAAGCGAATACACTTCGCTGCAGTACATAGAATCGACTGGGTTTTTGCGTGCCAAACCACAGGTACTGCCTCACACCGACTCGCCACCAACACCGCATCGCATGCATGATTGGGATAGGCCAGTACGTATACGCATGTCATATCGTCGAAGTTTATCCGATCAACAATTGCAAGTCGTTTTGGTCATATACGAACATGTAAAGAGCAGTGGTACGGATGTGATTCAAGGTGCAACAGCTATTAGCATGCGTCGCCGTAATCTCATGGCACAGTTCAATGAAGCAGCGCTAAGTGAACCGTCGCCAACTACGCAGGAAGTGACTGGCGATGTTGAAGAAATTGTTGCTACGGATGTCACCACTGTAGTACCATTGACTGATGTTGGTGAAGACGCGTCCGCTGCTGTAGATACGGCACATTTGCGTACTCCGTCGAAAAGTGGGCCAACACCACCAGCTACACCAAAACGCAGGCCACGGGTGCCATACGCTATGTCGGGCATGAAGCGTATTGCCCCAACGCCCTCGACGTCTACTCCAAAACGCAGTGCAGCACGTACGTTGAGGCTTTAAGGGGAATAAAGTCGAGCAACGGCGATGATATTTTATTTGGCAGTTTAGCAAATTTTTTATAAAACTAGTTTTGTTTGATTAAAAAAAAAAAACACAAACAAAAATCGAATGATTCAAGGGTTTAGTAAATTAAAAATCGTACAAATATATGTATGTATGTGAAAAAAAGATATTTTAGGTGCTGCATTGCCACGGAATTTTCATCTCTTGAATATTTACTTACCATAAAATACTTTTCAGTAGCTTCTTGGCAGAATGGAAACTAGTAAAAACTATTTTATGTATAACTATGTTTTTCTGTATTAGGAAAACTATAGTGGTTTTCTGACTATAAATTCGTCTTCGCTTTGTTGCGCTAAATACCCGTGAATCATTCGCAATTCAAAATTTTTCGCAAAATATTTCGAAAACCGCGAAACAGTTTTGCGGTTGCAAAAATATGTACTTCTATTCGGAGTGAAGATTGTGGCAAAATTTTTCTTCTAATTATCGCTTTGCTAAAATGTAATTTCCTTACCAATGTTTTTTTTTGGTTTTAGGTTATCCATAGAAAAGCTGCAATTAAAAACCGTAACTTGATACTTCTAAACCTTAACTACGTACATGCATATGTACATAAGTGTGTGCTTGTTTTTTTTTTATATACATATGTATGTATATACAATTAAACTTTTCCTAATCCTCAAAATTAATAAAATTTGTTTATTAAACAAAGTATGCTTACGCTAGAACTCCACATCAAGCACCCTGCGTTTTTAAGCTTTCAGCGCGCTATTCAGTTATGCCGCATTTCCACTAGGCATTGAAATGACAAAAAATGTATGCCATATAAAAAATTGAAAAATGGAAATGAAATTAATGAAAATTTTTTTAATATAATGACACGAATATTTTTTAATGCCCGACTTTGTCATTTGTCATTTAATGCCTAGTGGAAATCCAGCATTATAAGTTATATGCCTGAATTAGCGTTAAGCACCAACACGCTTGAGATGCCTGATGTGGACCTCTAGCTTTATTGCCCCAAATAGTTTCTAGATTTAATAAGTTTCAAATTTAAAATTAGTTTTCGTCTCTTCAACTCTGAATAGAAATGAATATTTTAACAATACCCATTGAAATTTTTTGAGTGCTCACTAGAGACATTCGATATTGAGGGTCTATGATCCCGCATTTTGCATATATAAATATCCCTTTATACATTATATTTTGTTGTATGTATTTGAAAGCAATCACGTCGATTGTATATTTTCTATAGTTTTCATAGCCATTTGCAACTTACATAAATATACATATATAGTGGTCTCATTTATTTGCTATTAGTAATTTAAATGTTAGCTTGTTTTACTACTATTTTTATATAGATTTATATGGTAAAATTAATCGAATGTATAGCACGTGTATGTATATGCAATTAAGACACACTTTCCATTTTCCTATTACTCTTTTTACGCTTTAAAGGGAGCTTCATCGTAATAATAATGCCGCTGTATAACGTAGATTATTTATGTACATGTGTACTTACATATGTATGTATTCATACTTAATTAGTTTACATTGAAATAATGTATGTATTTCTTATGGGCATATTTTGATTGTTTATTAAAAAAAAAAAAAGAAAAATAAATGTATTGAGAAAAACGTATGATGAATTGTTGGAAAAAGTTATAGAGAAGTCGAATAAAATATCAAATATCAATAAAATGTATTACCAGCGATGGTCATTCTATGACAGCGGAATGCCTGAGACATGCCCCGAACCGATAGATGGACTCAGAACACAGGACGTATTTTTTCCTTTGATCATAGTAAATTTCAGTGGTTTCTTTAAAATATATGTAGATATGTATGTTCTTTATTTGTAACGCTTTAAAACCTACATATGTATATATATGGTCCAAAATGCTTTCGAGTTGATTTAGGTATCTAGTTTCTGGAGGCAGTCAACTTTCTTCGGCGGTTGGAACAGAGGCAACATGCAGAGGTTGTTTATCAATCTTGTTCGTGTAGATGCCTCCTGACGTACCTTGGCTAGAGCTCTGCTGCAAGCAGGTGTCTGTTAGGTTGCCCTCGTCTGTGACAACCCTACTCCCTGCTCCATGACGGGGACATCTGAGCCTCGTCGTGTGATTGGTTGTTGGTTTTGGCAGGTCTGTACCTTCGTCCACTGCGTGCTGCTAGTCCCGGGCGACCGCATGTGCCACAGGTTCACTCCTCTGTACCGTTCTCTAATAAATTGGGACACTGTGAGTAGAGTATCTCACCACATATGAATGCCAAGATCCCTTATATCCGCAGTGGCATATATTCGGGAAGTGCTTTTCCTACTCGCCCAATCAATGCACAGATAAGTAAGGGACTCAACCAGCGTTGACCCTTCGAAAGAACAGAACACGTCGCATTCGAAAACTTTCGGTGCAATCAAACACACGACGGTTCTCAAGGAAAATCTTGACATGTCCCTTCCGGAGCGGAGGAAGCGGCGATTCATCAACTACATATATGAAAAGACGACAGTCATTGCGGTCAAATTTCACAATGCTAACATCAAACCGCGTGAGTTCCCTAACTTGGCGTTCTCATCGTTGCTGAACTCACTTCTCCGCCAGCTGGATTTATCTCTTCGACCCTGCTAGCTTCTCCACTGCGATGAAGCTTGGCCATTTGACGATTAGGATGCCACTGTGGTAACCATCTCAACAACATTGTGCTTTCTAACGAAACACTAGCCAGACACGTGGGAAAGCCCTTCCTCGGCATGAAAGATGACCTTAAACTGTACGTAAACCCTTAATTCTCGAAGGAGGAGCAGGTCAAAGGCCTAAGCGAGCTAACCATCCACAGCACACGCCGCGTTAATATCGTTATAGGCGACCCCTCGACACCTTTTAGCGGAAACAGAAGTACCGCGTGAGACGCAATACAAGCCGATTCAACTATGGCAGGCTGGTGCAGCCGCCTCAACAGCTTCCATTCGCGCCTGAGACCCGTAATACAGTTCTCTCAGTTTGATACTTTCTTTTCTGTGCGCTTGCATTATAGTACTGAGACTTACCACAAGTAAGGGCTCAGGTCCTATCGGGGTCAAACAAAAAGCCATTGTCGCTATCTGATCAGCTTGCCTCGTTGCTATCGAATTTTATGTGGCCTGCTACCCATTTAGCTTCGCGAAGCTGCGAAGGAATACGCAAGTTAATCTCTGCGCACAGACTATGGAATCGACTTCCGCTTGGAAGATAATTGGAAAAGTTACCAAGGGAATTGACAGTGTCGGGTCATATACGCCTGCTCCAATACCCTCAGCGCCCTTAGCGCAATCTGTGTACCAGTATAGTGTGCTCGCCTGATTGTGTCTCTTTATTATAGAAGTCTACAGGTCGTTTTGCTGTATTATTCTAAGTATGAAGCCTGGCAGCAGCAGGAGTGATTGAGATACTCTCCCATAAGTTACTAAAGCTGATACGCTTGGCTTTTATAATTTCCTTGTCCTATTTTTTTTTGAGCTGGCTGAATACTCATCCCTAGTGCGCTCTGCCCACTTTAAGAGTCTGCGCACCTCTTTCCTGAGTTTTTAGAGCTCCCGTAATCACCAAGTAGGCTGGGACTTCCCTCTTGGTTTGTTCAAGGGACAGCTAGAGTTAAAGGAATTCAATACAGTACCTTTCAGCCCATTAATACTATCATCTAACTCCATACCTTTTTTGTATTTTGACTCTTAACTAGGTAGCTTCGCCCTGAGTACTTCAACGTACTTATCCCGATCAGTTTTCCTGGGGTTCCTCTTAAGATAGCCCGTCCAGCCTTCATTGCAAAGCGTCTGTGAGTAGGCAGTTAGGGCTCAGCTGAGACCCACCTTTGTGTGTGCTGACTAATCTGTTAGTGAGAGTTATGTCAATAAATTCCTTTCTAACCCTAATAACGATTGTTAGTCTATGACCCCTACTGCTCCACTCAACATTGTAGGCGTTCGCATCGCAGCGGGAAGTCGCCAACTGTGACAGAACTCCATCAGCTGCTGTATTCCTGCCGTTTACTGACGGCGTCGTCTGAACTGCTCCCAAGCCCTGTGCTAGAAACTCTGCCATGCCGAAATAGTTAATATCTTTCTTCAACACCACAAACGCTCTGGCCCACTAACTAGAGAGGTCCCAAATTAACTTGTTGCAATTATGATTCAGGCCCCTAACCTGGCCACTGTATGATGCCCAGGTCCTCGGTGGCGAAACTGCAGCTACCGCCTGGTGCAGGTTGACCTGGGCTACTGTCAAGTGCAGTGTGCTCATTGCTTAGTTTCGTGTAGATCCACGAGCGGCGAATCGCTTCCGCCTGTCGAGCTCAAGCGTGCTGCTCAAGCGCAGTAGCCGCTTTCTCCGGAACGAAAAGCATTAGCCTTTATGCCGCGATGTCTGATTTTGGTATTACATATCTTTTTTTTTTTTTTTTTTTAAATGTCCGGATCTTTTAAGGCCATTAAAGGTATTGTATAAAAAAGTTAAACCAAAAATTTCTTTAATTTTTCTTTCTATGATTTTTTTAACTTTAAAAATTAACCTTTCTAACTATAATAGTTTTTCAGATATTCAAGAAATAAACTTGCAAAATCCGGGAAACCGTGAAATTTTGATTTCGAATTTTTTTTTTTAATTGCTTTTTGGTTGTTTGTGTTTCCGATAGGGTAGGAGTATGATGTATTGTGGAACGATTTTCCGTCATCACTTGTCAAATTTGATTTGGAGACAAACCGGTTTCGGCGTTGTGCCATCTTCAGTGTCATTTTTCGTTCTCCGTTTTTTTTTATGTTTTTCTTTTGACAGAATTTCGATCTCGATTTGAGATGGATTAACCCATTTGTATGTATGTGCGTAAAAATGGATTCTTTTTCATGGTAATTAAATCTATGTTTTGCAAAGAAGGTTTACAAATGTTTTAGTTTTTGTAAAAAAGTGACATGTAAATATTTTTTTTTGTCAAGTATTGCACTCAACTGTTAACCGTAATTATACGTAATTTATTACTGCAATGTATGTCTGAATCGTAACTGAATAAAATAACTATTTTTTTTTTTAATATTTGATAAATTTATTTACTTTTTATGTAACTTTCAAGTTTTTTTATATTAAATAATTATTATTAGTTATTTAATTATAAATCTATGTATGTACTTATAGTTTTACAAGTAAGTTAACGGCCGTTTGATTACATAGTTAATATATTTTTGTTAAATTTTTTGTTTTGTTTTGATATTGCATTTTTTTCTTCATCTAAACGAATGCAATGATTTTGTATTTGCTGACCCGCACTTATAAAAATAATAAAAAATAAAAGTAGAGACCAAAAAAAAAAACCAAACAAACAAACAAAAAACATTCTATGGCGACAAGTAACAAATGTATGTACATATGTTTGTAGGTAGGTAGTATGTATATGTACATATATGTATGTATATGTATACTTATGTAGTATGTTGCTATGTATAATTTTAACTTATTTAAAAACGTGCATTTAACAAATACTGAATTTTAAATTGATATTTTACATTAAAACATGCATTCAACTCTTTTGTGCCTCAATCTTCCTTCCTTTCACCTATGCATGTAAGTAAGTAAGATCTATTAGGTTTCCTTCTTAGAGCGAATAGCGCGTACTATCGTCCGGTTTTACCTCAACTGGTATAGCCTTGACAATGAAACGTCTGCGATTGAGCAGTGAAATTGCACTAGAAGTGGAACTTTCAATGCTGCTGCCATCATCAATAGGCTGTTTGGGTTAAAAGTAAGCAGAAAAGTGTAGAAAATTATTAGAAAGGGTTAGATACTTTTTTGTTTTAGATATATGTATGTATGTACATAAATAGATATTATTGAGGAAATATCGACCCCTTACCGCTAAAAAGACGTAAGCGACTTTTTTTTTTTGAAAATTTTATTTTTGATTCAGAAGTGTATCTACATAGATGCTGTAGGAATGTTTCTTGCATAAAAAAGAAAATTTTTAATAAAATGTCGCTTACGCCTTTTTGGCGGTTAGGGCTCGATATGTAATAATTAGGTTATGCCCATCAATTAGAAAACTCGAAAGCATTTTTCTTAGAAATCTAAGCAGTTCCCTCAAATATTCGAGACTTTCGAGGTTTCTGTTGCTTTTTATAGTTAAAGGGAAAATATGCGTAATATAAAAAGCGTAATTTGGAAAAAATTATGATGAAACCAGGTTACATATATGCTAGATGCTACCTATATTATTATTATTATCATTTAGTACGCTGTTTTATTGCCAATTTTTTGTGTGCATTAGTAATTGTATGCGTATTTGTGAAGTTAATTCAGTAATCGTGCAGGAAAATGTTAATGTCGTACTAGAGTTATTGCACCTCGTTATACATATGTATGCACATATGTAGGTGCGAAGGTGAAAGCAAAGAAGAAAAGTAGCAAACGATAGTGGCAAGCACAGAAAACCACTCAAAATTATACTCACTTAAGTTAGCGGAAAAAATTTGTTCATTACTTTGGGACATACATATACAAATATATGTAAATCATTTAAAACGCCTTTAATAGGTAGTAAATTACAAAATTCCATTTAGAATGTGAATCACAAGTGCTAATTGCATAAGTCCATTTAAATACATATTAAATTCATTGGCAGCTACAAACTGAGTATGTATGCTTGTATTTACACAATGTATGTATGTATATATGTGTGCATTTAAAAATTTACAAATATTTGCATTCTTTTGACAAAAGCGAATTTAAAATTTTTTTTTTCTTGCACTAACCGCTTTCCAAAATTTTAACTATAATCAAAAATATGCAGCGTATTCTTTAGCAGTTTTTTTTCTCTTTAAATCGGTTTAATTTAATTTTTTTGGTTTTTTAAATTAAATTAAATATTTTCCATTACTATTTTGGCGTGATTTTTTAGTCTTCTTGCTATTTAATAAATTTACGCGACGTATTCGATCTGGTTTATCTAAAACGAAATTAAAAAATAAACAAGTACAGTAAAAAATAAATTTTTAATTGAAAAGAATATAAAAATTTTTCTCATAAAAGCAGTGTATTAAAATTTGTATGATGTTTGTTTTTATGTTTATATGAATCTCGCCTTAATGAGCATAAAAATATGTGCTTATATTAAAAGATATTAACGTGATGTGTTTAGTTATGTATGCACATAAATATGTTTTTAAGCCAAATACCGCTGATGATGCCATTTATAAAAATTTACTGTTATTAATTGGAAAATTGGTGCTTTTGAAGAGTTTAATATAGTTTTTTTTTTTTTTGTAAAACAAAGTACATTTGTAAGCCAATACATATATATGTCATCACATAAGCTAGAATATTTGTATGTGTAAAAATACTCAACCTTTTCTTCTAACTCATCAAATTTTTGTGGTGCGATTTGTTTTAAACCTGAAAAATTGGAGATATTTCAAACTCGAAAACTTCCGAGAAAATTTTTTTCTATTCAAATTTAAAGAGTTCCGAGATTTTTGAGGTTTTCTTTCATGGCAAAAGGGATTGGCCGCTTTTGTAGTTGTAGTTTTAGAAATTAAATTTCAAGATACATATACTATATAATTTTCAGCATTTTTTATTAGATTTACACAAATTTCTGTAATCTTAATAATATTGCTGGAATAGGAATACCACACCCAATTCTTTAAGCTGGTATTTTTTCAATTATATATGCATGTTTATCGTTAGTAATATATAGACTGTTTTTTTCACTGAATACGTACAACATATGTACATTAAGGTGCATCACTCGCCATAGAAAAAAAATTGGTAGTGTTTATCATCGGAATTATAGCATCTAACTATTAAAATATAAGACAGCCGCTAAAATATCTCGAAAAACTATTATGCTTTGCCCTGGATCAATTTGAAAATATCGAAAAATATTAGACTTTTTTAAGAATAAAATTAGGTCTTAAACTATTTTTCCGAAAAACTCACCTCAGATAATAGCAGAATTTAAGAATCAAGGTCTGCATAAAAATGTTTAAGACTTTTATTTACGGAATCAAAATGTACAGATTTTTGGAGGTATGTATGTTTTTCCAAATCGCACCAGCTCACACAAATCTTAAAATTTTTCCTAAATATTTTGGTTGAAGTTTTAAAAAATATTAGATTTTATAATTCCGGCACAGTAACATTTTTTGGTGAGGCACCCTAATGCATGTTCATAAAAACATGGCCGATTCTATAGGCACTTAAAAATATAATAATTAATATAACGCTATAAACCCCAAAAACGCAAGGGCAACGTTACAAAAATTTAAATTTATAATAGGGTGGTTCAAAAATGCACGTAAAAAAGTAAAATTGGATTTTTAAAGCTCTCACTCCCTAGGGTTGTTGTTCTATACCGAAAAAACACACACCTATTTTTTTCGAGATCAGAAAATATTTAGAGGTCGCTCAGAGCGCTCAAAGTTTTCCTTGTATTTTATATGAGGAAAAACATGTTTTTGTGGAAATAGTTCAAAAGACTTTAGGGAATAGTACCCAGTTGTTTATTAACATTTTTTTAGTACTAACGATTTTTGTTGGGTCCCTCCATTGCATTTTTTTGTGGTTTTTGGGGGACCTATTAAAAACTTGTTAATATTAAGAAATGGTTAAATAAAGAATTATGTATTATTATTGGAAGTCTCCTAAAGCGAAACAGTCGTTTCCGACCGAAAAATATTGATTTTTAAAGAATTCTACACCATTCACTCTAAATAAAATATGTATATGGCGCTTATGTATCCTTTGGGCGCTTTGAGCGACCTCTAAATATTTTTTGATTTCGGAATAAAAATACAGGGATATGTTTTTCTACATATAGAACAATCCTGGGTGGTGAGAGCATTAAAATTGCGACTTTACTCATTTTGGACCACCCTAATGTACATACGTACATATGAATGTATGTATGTGTATAGGTTACTTATGCGTTTTCAGGTTTTAACAAAGGCACTATTATCACTGTATTTTACTGTAAAACCTCCATCACCTTGTATAATTTCTAATTCTTCAAGCTCTTAACTTTAAACCATTTAATTTAATCGCTTATAATATATGTATGTATGTATACCCAATACACATGCTTGTTTAGTGTTTTATTTAATTTCAAAACAACAAAGAACCCATTAACGCATTTCTTTAGCATTTTAATTTAATAAAGTACAAATGGTAATCTATTCCCCTATCCATAAGTTTTTAAGTACATTTGGCTGCATCCGAAACCATATTTTACGTATGTATGTATGTATGTATGCTTGAATGCATACATATATGTACTTTAATTTTATTGTTTTTACATTTTACTTCTGAGTACTCACATCAATACAAGCGCACTGACTTTCGTCAAATATTGTGCCAGTCGTACAGGATTGGCTATCACGGCAGACACATCGGCAAGTTGTTTCATCCCAGTATTTGTGCTCTTGCTGGAATAATTAAAACACAAAAAAAAAATCAAATGAATTTTCAATGTTAAAATATGTTATAGTAGTTTTATTAAATTTTAGTGCGACTGAATTAAACTATACTGGATTAATTAAGTTTAATTACATAATTACGTAATTCAATTTAAATTTCAATTTAATTTACTTGAACTTAGTTAAATTTAGGAAATTAAATTTTATTAAGTCAATGAATTAAATTAATAAAATTAATCAATTAAGATTTTAAAGTTAATTGAATTTCATCTAATTGTTTTAACTTAACTTGACTGAACTTACCCTAAATTAACTGGACTTAACTTATTTTAATAAACATTTAATATTTGTTATGGCGTTTCCTTTTCTACCGCAAAAGGTTACTGTAGAAAGAAAATGCCACTAGTTTCTAAAGCTTAATTAATTAAACAATTTTATTTCATCTTATATAATTATCCTTACCGATAAACATTTTTGCAGCGCATCCTCATTCGTACACACACAACTGCACATGTCACGACGATAAATTTGGTATGAATTGCAATCCTATAAAAAAGAGCATATATTAAGTAAGTAAATCATATCACTACATTTCCATATGTATGTATGTATGTATGTATGTTTTTTATTTGCTCCACCCTCTTCAAAAGCATTGCATGCAAGACACACCCAATATCCATTAAAAAGCAAAGGCTAACAAAACAAAAAAAAAAGCGACCATACCCGCCTACCTACCTCCGCCTTGATGCGACAGTCACACTGACACCTTGTATGCTGCTCCACCACAACGATCTCCTTGCCACGTATGCGCGTACTGTCGCCATGGTAAATTTTGGTCACCTGAAATGTAATGAAACTGTGTAGGTTTTCAAAGCGTTTTGTTTTGTTTTATGCTTGAAACCGCCAAAACTTCAAAAGCAAAACACACACCTCAAAGTTGATTGTCTCGGTTTCGGTGGGTTGACACGACATCAGCTGCGAACCACAGCAGCCGCCACACCGTTTCACGCGCGTACATTTCGGAAAGTAGACGACTTTGGGATCACGTGACGGTTCGAGTGGTGTGAGCGGTACAACGGTGCTCTCGGGTATACAATTAGCTGCCTTGGGTATTTGTACATTTGCTGTAGTAGGTATAAAAAGAAAGAGAAACGTGAAACGAGAAAATGGGTTAGAATCTTTGATTCTGATGAGTATACAGTATTGGCTTACCGCGTTCTACACTGCGTCTGAAGGTTCCTAAAAAAAAAAAGAGTTGAACAGAAATAATAAATACAAAATTAATTTGCTAGTTAGCATAACTTCAGTCAGCTTTAAATATAAAATTATGTGTACTAGTAATTTTAGCAAATTAATCTAGGTGACGTACGCTTGCCCACATTTGACGCCCGCTTGAGCGACAACAATGTCGTCCTCAACGTGTCTTGATTCGCAAATTAATTAACGTCGATCGTCATGCTCACATACATAGGTATTTTCCTTTATTGTGGTTTTCGATTTTTTAATACAGTATATATGTATGTATTCTGAATTTTGGGATTTCACGTTGAGTGAGCGACAACGAGTGGTTTTATCAGTGACTTCATTGCTAGCGAAGTGACAAATTTATGTAAATACAATATTTTAATTATTTATTTACCTTGTAAGCCTAATTTTGGATCAATTGTGTCCTTTTCGACGAAACGTTCTATGAATTCCGTTACGTCTGTCACGTTATCCAGTTCTTTGTAGAAGTTCATAAGTTCCTAAAAGAGAAACAAATATGCATTACTTAAAAATCATTTGTAAAAAAAAAACTGATAATAAGAAAATAGAGTACATGAACTTTTACTTGAATAAGCCTCCCCAAACTTTTATAGGACGTATTTTATTAGGTTATAGAGTTGTATTTTGTCAACACTTAAAATTGGTAGCGAAAAAGTCGCGTGTGTTAATATTTCAGTTTTAAACTTTGTACGAAAATTAGAGAAATTAAACAAAGCTTCATCGAAATTCCAAGGTTTTTAATTTTTATATCTGAGGCTCTTTAAATTTGTATGGCTTATTAAATTTCAGTATAAAAAATTGCAAGTTTAAAATTGCTAAAAATCCCCTTGATTTTTGATAACTTATTTTCCTGACGGCGCGCCGCGGCGCACAGTGTTTCGACCGTATGGAAGCAGGTGGCAAAAAGTAGATTAAAAAACCGGTTGGGCTTAGAGAGGGAAAAGTAAAAGTCATAAATACAAAAATTTCACATCATTTACTCCAAGATGAAATTTCTATAAACAAGATTTTAGTGATTCACAAAGTTGTCATAACTATGAGTAGTCATGTTGTCATAATGTCATAAATTTTTTAATGGCTAAAAAGCAGAGACATAACTATTAAAAGAGAAGAGAATAAAAGTCAATCAATAATCATTATATAAAGATAAATTTTTTTCGAGCTATCTATAATTATTATTCAAGGACTTATATTATAAACGTTCTTTCATAGTAATTATCATTGAGATAAATATTTTTAAGTCTTCAAAGACTTTTATTTTAAGACTTATATTATAAAAGTCTTTTGACGGGACTTGTTCAGGAGCATTTCTCGCTTAGTTGGGGACCAGTTCGGGTCTAGGAGGGGACCAGTAGGGGAGCACTTTGGCACCATTTGATGCTTGGTTTGGGACCCGTTCGGGACTATATACGAAATTTTTTCGCACTTATAACTATTATCAAAAGACTTTTATAATATAAGTATCAAAATAAAAGCCGTTGAAGACTTAAAATTATTTATCTCGCTGACAATTATTATGAAAATACCTCTATTATACAAGCCTTAAAGTAATAGTTATCGATGACTTACAAAAATTTTCTCATACATAATTATTATCAAAAGACTTTTATAATTCTTATGAAAATTTGGATGACTTTTTTAAAACTCCACCATGAAATAATTATTATTCTTGTCTTTGCTCAAAGGCCATACTCGTAGTTGAGTGAGTAGAGATGCGTTCTATACATAAACATATACATATATGTAGTATATAAATACATACATAAATACGTATTTTTGCTTTAACTGTAATAATTACCTTAACGCACGAACGTTACACCCTTTTCTAGTCTATATTAGAATTAATAACTCATAGGTTGTGTGAATACCCATTTCAGCTTTTTTTGTGATGTACCTATACTCTATCGCCATTTAAAATCTATTAAATCACAGATAACTTTTTTAGATGTAAACTACATAAATAAATATAATTTAATCTTAATTAGTTACTTATGTATGTACAGTTGTCCACAAAATAATAGGAGTGGGATATTTTAA